TGGAGAGACTGTGGAGCGTCTTTGATGTTTTCTGAAGAAATTATGTTGCCACATCCTCCATTCAGTTTATTATCAACAGTGTAATTTTCTATGCTTATGTATCAATACCAGCTTCGGTATCATATCATATGATCTTTGTATGGGTTTGTAGAGCTATCAGTTCACAAATTTGCATTTGACTTGCACACGGATGATATATCTGTTTCCAAATGTGCATTCATCTTCTTTTTATGCATCTGAATCCCGACAGTGTAATATGTAGCTTTGATGTCAGTTTTTCATATTTCCATCTATTCTTTGCTTATGGATGAACTGACTTCACTTTCAAACTAGCACTCTTGTTAAGTGGGTCAATGAGTTGGTCTGTATTATTTATTCACAGTATATCTACATGAATTCAGATTCCTGGACTGGTAAATGTGGATTTCGCTGATGTGCGTGCTATTATGGCAAACGCTGGTTCCTCATTGATGGGAATAGGAACTGCTACCGGTAAGTTCAGGGAGCTATCGCCTTTTGTTGGTTACTATTTAATTCATAATTTTATGTAGATGTGAGGTGACTAAGAATGTGATGATGTGGGCTTATGAGACACATACAGAGCTTATACCTCTGACAATATTATTTGTACTCCTAAAGTCAAAAGAGATTAAACAAACAAAAGTCGACATGTTGTGGATGTTCTAAATCTAATCACTCATCTCAGAGTTCCTGATAGCATCATTTTAACCAAGATAATAAAAAGGGATTTCCAGTACAAACCTGACTTACCAGATTGCAGAGCACTCCTACTGAAGCTTATGCTTGCCTATTACAGTTTAAATTGAATGACACAACCATCTGTTGCTCCATAAGAACTGTATCATAAGATCATTTGAGCTCTCATTCGCTCTTTCCCTTTAGGAAAAACATATCCACTCTCGTTATTTCCTTTCAGTATTTGGACTAGTGGAGCCCCCATAAATGAATTGCACTTCCAATTCTGGACCACCGAAATTTGGACGGTGGAGCCTCCTTATTTCCTTTCAATACGTTCCTTGTTTTGGCCAAGATCTGAAAGTATTTCATATCCAAACCTAAAACTAACTTTTTATGAGTTCTAGAAGGTTACACGGAATAATACGTCGATCAGGATACCAGATATATGTATGGCCACATATGGTCTTTCTCACCTCTCAAGTAGTTGGTCTGAATACGGAGCCTGTTCCCGGGGAAATTGTTTCTGTTGAGATTGTATAAAAGAGATGTCACATCACTGGGTTGATATTGCAGGGAAGACCAGAGCCAGAGATGCCGCGTTGAATGCCGTTCAATCTCCTTTGTTGGACATCGGCATAGAGAGAGCTACTGGAATTGTGTGGAATATAACAGGTGGTAGCGATTTAACATTATTTGAGGTACCCACCCTGCTTTCCTCACTCTCTCGCTGTCTCTCTCCCAACCCCAAACTTATTCGCAGAATGCAGACAATATAGTCACTAACAGGTTGTTACTGGTGTGGTAAAGAAAATTCTCTATGTTGAACATATCATGTATAAATAGTTGTACGAGTCTTTTTCGTTAATTTCCCGGAGTGATTGTTTCCAAGGAATGGGAAAAATAAAGAGAAGCTTTATCTAATGATGCATAAGCTTGTTTCTCTAGAAAATCAAATGGCCTATCATCTGGTCTACCAGTCTGCCTATTTGTTACTTCTCTTCAGCAGAGATGACTGCTTATCTATCTAACTTTCATATAGCCACATTGTCATCATTGCATCCCTATCTTATGGTATAGTGATGATCAGATGGATCAGTTTTTCACAATTATGGAATCAAAGCATTCCCATTTCAGGCGCACTATTACTGTTTTTGAACCTAGGTTGCAGAAATTTATTTATGTATTGAGATTAAATTTCAATTGGATGCATTCAAAATATTTTATTTTTGTAAATATACTGTCAATGATGTTAATTCATGAATTATCCAACTTTTGAAGTCTTTTCATACACTTGTATGTACTTGTGGAACTTCACTAGGTAAATGCTGCAGCTGAAGTTATATATGACCTTGTTGATCCAAGTGCCAACCTCATTTTTGGAGCTGTGATAGACCCATCATTAAATGGACAGGTACATTAAATTCTCCTATCACTACGATAATATTGCTTTTATTTAGATGATAAAAAGGGCAGCCCGGTGCACTAAGCTCCCGCTATGCACGAGGTCCGGGGAAGGACCGGATCACAAGGATCTATTGTACGCAGCCTTACCCTGCATTTCTGCAAGAGGCTGGTTCCACGGCTCGAACCCGTAACTGCCTGGTCACATGGCAGCAACTTTATTTAGATGATACTATGCTAAAATAACTAGCAACGATCTCTATGTTAAAAAATTATAATGGACCTGGTTTTGAATCTCAGAAGCTTTTCATACTTGAAACAGCATAAAAGTAGTTCCAACTATAAAGCCTGAACTGTGACGGATAGTAACAGTTGAATTCCTTTACTAGGAGAAAGCATTAGCAGTCGATTTCACTTGCATAACAAATCTGATTCTGAATTTACTTTTGAGATTATTCTTTGGAATAATGAAAAGACATTACTTGCAGTTTTCAAAGAAAAAAGGAAATTATGTAAAAAGAAATTGGTCAGACAGTAGAACAACTTGAAAAATTTGTCATGCAAAGTTAGTAGTTCCATGAAGCAGCTTATCTGGTCAGAAGTCAAACATTGACGAAGTATAGGAAAGGATTTCTTTCTAATTGGTAAATCAAGTGTTTAAATTGGGGAGCAAAAACAAAATTGTCTTTATTTTTTCACACCAAATACTCATCTATGTTAGTTTAAGGCAAACACAAATAGATTCTAGCAATGTTACAGCATCCATGAGGATGGTATCACTTGTCAGTTTTCATAATCTTTCTACTTGCTTGTTTCAAGCTCTCTTTCCCTGAACCTGTGACCAATATTCATCTTGAATCATGGTCACTCGCATCCTTATTCTCATGATGCAGGTCAGTATAACCCTAATTGCCACCGGTTTTAAGCGCCAAGAAGAAAGTGATGGAAGGCCCGTCCAGGTATTCCTCTCTTTCACCTTCTCTTTGCATGTGTCTGCTCATGAAAATCCTGTGTATTGATGGGCATCTTGTATAATTTGTTCATTATGATGTTACAGGGAAACCAGCTAGCACAGGGAGATGCTACACTTGGGATTAACCGACGACCTTCATCCTTCTTGGAAGGTGGTTCAGTTGAGATCCCTGAGTTCCTCCGGAAGAAAGGGGGCTCTCGCTATCCAAGAGTTTAAGTCAGTCCTTGCTTTTCTTCTATACATATTAGTCTTTCACTGTTCATATAACTGTCCTTTGTTCCCTCTCTATCTTTTAAAGTGATAATGTCTTCTATGCAGGATGTTAGGTATGTTCCAAATAGTAACTCTGTCTCCGGGAAAGTTATATCCAATGCCCTTTCTTAGTACATGGATACTTGTTTTGTTTTTCACTAGTCATGCCCGTATATATCACTTCTTTGGCTTTCATTGGAATAAGCTGGAGCTTTTTACATCTCGATATGCAAGCAGGATCTGTCGGCAACCTTGTCATACATGAACTGTACTGTTACATCTTTGATGTGTAGGTGGAACTCAGACATACATATGTTTGCATGCGTGCGCGTGTGATTTAGGATCAGTTTTGCGGTCAGGAGAGTATGTCCAATGCGTCCTATCTCTATTCTGTGCCACCAATGGTATGTGCAGATATTATATTTAGTGTGAAGTTGGAGGACTATTTTCTTCATGACAACAATGAAGATATCTAAAACGGAGTGCCTAATCTAAGCCATTTTCTTTTTGAGTGGAGGCAGATTGACTATTCCACTGCTAGGGAGAATGGCAATGTTGAAATATTAGAAACCAATATTTGTGAAAAGATGAGTTATAGAAGGAACAATGTTTCTAGTGCAAGATATTAATTAAGAGGTTCTTAAAGCTTTAGTTTTGCTATTTGGGTCAAGACTGCCAAAAGTAGGATATATTGCTACACCATGAAATGTTCTTGCTATCTTATCCACCATTGCTCTAAATTAGTACTTATTCCTTCTAAAAAAAATGGACGGTCAGACTAAGAAAAATTAGAAATTGGAAGTATTTTAACATATTGTAACGGATTTTATTTTTCAGATTACTAATCCCATACTGTATAAAAAATAACGTGAAAATATTATGGGCTAGCTAGTTTTCAGACTGGTAATTAAAAAATAGCCGGCGTTTGCCACTATTTTGCTGAAACACGAAACGTTCCAGTATAATATGCTGGATTATGGAGCTCCTGCGTATAAACTTTCAGCATATTATGTTGGGATCTCGTATGCAAGAAACTCAAACTCCCGCATATTATAATAGAATTTTTTCGGATTTTTAAGGGTGTTTTTGTTCAGATTCTATCTTTACATGAAAAAATGGCTAAAATTTCAATTACTTTTAAAACTCTGATTTTTTTTAATTACCAATTGTAAATCCAGCTATTTCTGGTTACTTTCCTGACAATAACCTATAGTTATCTTAATTATTAAACATTAAGTTAAATTCAATATATAGCACTACATATTTAGTTCTCCTCAAGTCAACTGTATGGATTTCATAGTGACATATTCTGTGATTATCAAAATTTGTGATCTCCAGAGTTTGAAACTCCCACCGTGCACAAATTTAATTATTCAGTATCACAAACGTCTTATGCTTTCGAACAACATTACTCCACGGTAGTGTTTTATAAGCACCAAAATTAAAATACTTGCTAGCTTGATACCATATTTTTTTAGAGATGAAGATGCAATAAAAAAAATATAACAAGTTTTTGCCATCATTTTTCTAATGATATTAGTAAAAGTGGACTATTTTGCAAAAAAGTTATTAAAATTGAGGGGTGTGTTTATTATTTAAAATAATTTAAAGAACTTATTTGTAACATTCAAAAAAAAACAGTGGGAATAAATTTAAGTAGCATATTTGTCGCTTATGCCCCTAGTTTTCACTCTCCAGTCTCTTCTACTCATCTGCAATCCGAAGATTCTACAGAAACGAGTATATAGTGGAGAAACAGAGAGTTGCGTTCAAAGAGAGAATCAGAAATCAGAATGGAAACAGCAGCTCGAAAGAGGGGAAGAGGGCCTCTGGAAAGCGTTTACAGAGTCATTATGCGTCGCAATTCTGTCTATGTAACCTTTATCATCGTTGGCGCTTTCCTGGGCGAACGGGTAATCCAACTTATTATCAAGTTTCACAACTCATATCGAATCATTTTAGCGCTTTTTTGTTCTTATGATGGACTGATGTTTAATTAATTGTGTGAAATTCCTCATTTAGAAGATCAATTTTTTTTTTAAAAAACAGAGGAAATGATGGAATTAGAAGAAAGATATGGTATTTTTGAGTGAAGGAAACTTTATATTTCATGCAAAATAGTACTCGTTGTATCTTTTCGTGTGCGACCAAAGAAGTGTTCTTTAAAAACTGGTACAGTTAAATTTCGTTAAAGATGAGAAAACTGCTTTTATATAGCTAAATGTCACGGGCGACCTTTTTCGAACGTCAGCGGCACGCAAATAGCCCAAATAGCCCGTGCGGCGCCTGTAGTCACCCCTCACTACAAGCCAGCCTTTCATCTTTCCCAGGTTTTCTAGCACGATCCTGTGCGTGGGGTGAAGCTTACCTAGGAGGCTTACTTCAACTGTGCCGCCCGTTTGATGTCTAGGCTCATGGCCTTGACTAGCTGTGGCGCTTTTCATCTGCTGGATCTCATCCATGCGCACACCCGGAGTTGGCTAAGGACATGTCCGTTCCTCGCCTAGCACTAAGCATCACTCTCGCGTGCACAGTCCAATCCTCAAGCTTGACACTCGCCTCGTGCATCCGCACCCAGCTTGTGCTTCGCTCGAGTAGGGCAACCTTTAGTCCTTTGCCTCTATCATGTGTGTCTTTCATAGCATGCCCATGGTTGCCTTATGGCATTGCCAAACATATCCCTCGCGACATGCTTCCATCCTGCATAGTGCAGTGTCGCCCCACAACTGCACGTCTAGGACAATGGACCTTTGCTCGCATAGCTAAACCCAAGACATGCTCACAAGTTGACACATGAGGCCCCTATGATAGGTGCTCCAAGTATCCAATCGGCACGGAGGTCTTTATCCACCATTTCGGTAGCCCATAGGGCATAATCATCCCACACGTCAAGCCTCCGGCACCCGTTGTGTGCCCAATGCTAGCCCTGAGGCGTCGCGCCGTCCATGGAGTTCCCAAGCACGTATGGATACCTAAGACACTCCTTTGAGATGTCCAGACAGGTCCTTGAGGTTCTCACTCAGGGTGGCTCACTTGGTGCGGCTTGGTGGCAGCATGCACGGGGAAGGCTGGTGAGCTTCAACACCTCTGCCCCCTTATATATGCTTAAGATAAAAAAGCCCAATATTCCCTAGTACACATGTTTTTTGGCCAGAGAATCAAAATAGACCTTTCTCACTCATTCGAACTCCGAATAAGGCGCCGTCTATTCCTAAAGCTTTGTCTTGACTTCCTTCACAGTTCCATGAAGTTTCACCCCATTCCCATACTCGTGGAAATAGTTTTAGCATTTGGACACTTCAGCAAATTACGACAATGCCACTTCTCCTTGGCTAAGTCAAGCCCATAGGCAAACGGACTCCCAATGACGCCAAAGTTGGTCAGTATATATAAGAACATACTAGGAACATGTCCTACAACCGAAATCCCTAGATTCCCCTCATAGCTCGAATACGTACGGTCGTGACACTCAGGCTCGTACGCGGCCGTCGCCCGCAGGCTAGACCCTTGGTCTCATCCCAAGTCCTTGCTAAACTCTCTTGGCACTCTTAGGACATGCAACACAACATATCTAGATTGTTGTTGCCTCATGTATATCCCCTCTGCCTAATGCTCCTTCACAAACGCATCGCCAGCTCGTCTTGCCGCCCTGTGGCGCACAATACCCTGGATGCCAAGAACCCCCAAAATGCGGGGCGTAACATAAGCTCGTAAAAGGGCATCCCAGTGCATGAAGCATCTCAGTGTCTGGGAAGGGCTGCACCCTAAGGGGTGTGACGTAGGCAATCTACCCGGATGCAAGTATCAGTGGCTGATTCCAAATGCAAGACGATTAAATATCTTTCTTTTTATAATAGTGGTGTGGGGCCAGCTTACACACACCTCGATTATTTCATCGGGTACCTACTACCACCTGCCAACACAATTACCAGGTAATTCTGCCAACCAAGGCTTAGGCAAATGTGAAGAAATCACTTAGTGTTTTATTGCCTCCTCTAGGATTGCTTGAGACCTCATGGTTTTTCTCCCACTTTATTGAACAATATATCTCGATCGATCTGCATTTTCAATTTGCAAACTCTGGTTGATATTCTGTATGATTGAAATAAGCATAGGAAAGACGAGAAGTTATCAAATTTTATGTCCTCTTCATATTCTTGTTGCTTCGTCACAGGCTGTTGATTATGCTGTTCATAAGCTTTGGGAAAAGAATAATATTGGGGTGAGTTTTCCTGAAATTCATAATGTTAGCGTTTGATTTTCTCCTTTAAATCCTGGTTTACATGTATATTTGCAGCTCTGAGAGTTGGAAAGTTTGTGGATAACTCAGATTATACATGAGAATTCTTCCAAACACAAAATCAAGAATTCTTTGAAAACTGATTTTTACCGTAGAAGGCTCTGTTTTGCATGAAATAAACTTTTTAACAAAGAAATTATTTCCTCAATCATTTTCTCTGGTTGGACATAAGAGCTGGTCGGATGTGATAGTAAAAATGGCGGGAATAGGGGACACGAGGTGATGCTTGAAATTAGTCGACTGTTGTAAATAGCAAAATAATACTCCTCCTTTCCATTCTTCTTATCTATCGTTTAAGTGTGCATTTGATTGCATTAATCAGAAGTGGTATTTGACTAAATTATGCTTATCTCTTCCTTAAATGAGTAATTGATCGCATACCTTCTTGGAGTAGTAAGGTAGAATTGGAAAAAGAGAAATTAATGTCTTCTTAGTTTTCTAAATTGACATATATTTTGAACTAAATATTTTGGGCTAAAGTGACAGATAAAAAGGACATGATGGGATAGCCCCTTGTGGTCCAGCCCTTCCCCGGACCCCGCGTATAGCGGGAACTTAGTGCATCGGGCTGCCCTTTTTTTTAATTATGAGTAAATGGAGCTGTGACTGAAGCACTGAACTCAATGTGGAACAAGCATTGCTTTCCCGAATAAAGAAATTTGAAAATTACGAGTTCATGCACAGGCACATATATATTGTAGAATGTGAAGCATGCATTTGGCGCTCTTTCAACATTATGACTTTGGACTTCAAAGGATAGTTGTTTTATGCATTTTTGGTTTTATAAATAAGTGATTAAATTGTCTTCTGGCTGAACAGTTCTTTTAGCTTTTACATAGTGTAAGAATATTTGCTGTACTGAATCTAACTATGACTCAGAATCTGATCACGGTGCTTCTATTTATGCAGAAACGGTATGAAGACATCCCAGTTTTGGGGCAAAGGCAACCTGAAGAATGAATTCCTCTTTCATGACGACTACTTCATAGGTTTGGAATTTTGTCCAAAGTACTAGTAGCTATACAATCCTGGATAGCGAAGCTCTGTTTAAGTGATTGAGTTGAAGCTTTGCGCATCTCAACTACTCCTGCTTCTTGTTTCCTTCTAAAATAGGACTTCTTATGTTTTGTTTTGTAGAATGTTTACTATTTCGATCCAAGAAGGGACACCTTGTTTCCTTTTGTTTGATGTGATAGTTATAAATACTTGAACATCTTGTTATTGTAACATTGTCATCTTTGTTTGCCCCACTCATAGAAGTTTTATGGGATATGATGTTTGGCTGGGACATTTTCAGGAAGCTTCTCTTCAATTTGCATCTAGGGTGTTAAAGGCTAGGTGTTAGCCCTCCGCCACTTTGAGCTTGACTTGACAACGAGAGTGTTGTCATGGGGCAGCAAGAGTGTTGCCAAGCTAAGGTGCACGAGTAGCACCAAGGCAAAAAAGGGAAACGGGCAAGTGATTGCTAATGCTTTGACGGAGGAAAGGCAGCTTGGCAAGGACTTGACAAAGAGATGCGGGCTGAGGGTGACACTTGATCATGGCAAAGACATCAAGGAATGAGGCAGTAATGCCAAGGCAAGGCAAAAATGAAGTGGCAAAAGCAGGCTAAGTGCAACACAAGGCAGCGCGCAAGGTAGACTTGTCATGACATTGGGGCGCGACAAAAAGGCCATGTGCGTGAGCAATGGCATGGGCAAAATGTGGCTACAATGCATCTGAGTACAAGGCATTGGCGTCTGATTCAAGCCAAGGCACGCACATGGGCAGCAAGCTTCAGATTGACCAAGTCAAGGGCGGTTACACGGCACATGTTGTGCACATGGGCAGCAGTTGGCTTTTGCTAAAAAGCTGGCAGAAGTGTTAGCACGTTTTTGGGCCATGTTTCCATTTATTAGCATGATCTTACATGATCCTAGTAGTTGGGGGATGTTAACTTCACTAGGCTAAAATAGTGGGTTATGTGGGACAAGTGTCTAAGCCTAAGTGCGACAAGTGTAGGCAAAGGGGTTGTCTCATGTGTTATAAATGGGCAGCACCTTTATGCTTGTGAGCAGAAGAGAAAAACGTGTATGAGTGGACCTTTGTAGATTTAGGAAAGAGTCCTAAGTAAGTTTTCAAGGAAAACGCCTAAGGTCAAGAGTGATCTTTTCGTACACGGCTGCACTTAGAGTTTGAGTTTCTTTGTATGCTCGAGTTAAATATAAAGTTGGGAAAAGAGTTTCCTATAATTGTGCCTTGTGTTCTTGTTAATTTTTTATTGTCTTTACTAAATTTCGTTGCCTAAATCGTTCCTACACTTACTACGTTGAAAGCTGCGTAAAAATATTCTAAGTTCAAAGTTGTTGTAATTTTGGCTAAGTGTTGTGAGAAGGCTGAAGTCAAGTGCGGGACTTGGCTGTCGCGCAAGCTGGTTTCGGCGGACAAAAATCACGTCCGTGACAACTGGTGTCAGAGCGGAGCAGGTTCGTGACGGAGACACGATGGGCAGTGGTAGATTTCGTGGTTTTGTTTGAGAACATGGTCGGTGGTAACAACGAACTGCGGGAAAGGCTTGCGAAACTGGAGGCATTGATTGGGGATGTTCCTGAAGGTGAGGAATTTTAGACTCTTGTGACAAGGCTTGCCTACCTTGAGGTAGAATTGGCAAGGTTAAGTCAAGAGAATGCATATCTGAACAGCGAGATAGTGGTGCTGCGATGTGCTGTGGGCGAGGATGCTCCTCAACGTGGTGCTGATCGTCTCAAGGTAAAAATTCCTGAACCTAAGGCATTTGGTGGTGCAAGGAGTGCACGCGAATTGGAGAATTTTCTTTGGGATATGGAGCAACACTTTCATGTTATTCGTGTGCAAGACGAGAAGGAGAAAGTAACCTTGACTATCATGTATTTGAGTGAAGATGCTAAGTTATGGTGGCGCACTCATGTGGATGTAGACGAAAGTTTGGGCAGACCAAAGATTGAGTGGTGAGAGCGGCTTAAAAAGGAATTGAAGGATCAGTTCCTTTAGCAATACTTCTTGGATTACTAGGGACAAACTGAAAAAGCCGAGGCAAACCGGATCAGTTAGAGCATATGTCAAAGAATTTACTTCTTTGATGTTGAGCATAAGCAATATGTCGGAAGAAGACAAATTGAACAACTTCATGAACGGGCTGCAATAGTGGGCACAATTGGAGTTGCGTAGGCAGAATATTTAAAACCTCGCAAGTGTTGTGGCTACAACTGATGCATTGGGTGATTTTCACTTGGGTGAAGAGACTTCTGCTTCAAAGTCTAACGATGGAAAGAAAGACAAGGCAAACGAGTGGAAGAAGTGTGAAAATAACAATGCTAATGAAGGCAAGAGGCTGGAACTTCAAAGAGCAAGGAGAAGGGCAGCAAATTCAGTGGCTATTTCATTTGTGATGGGCCATACCGAGCAAGGGACTGCCCGAAGAAGGCAGTGTTAAATGTTATGACTGCCGCAGACAATAGGGCTGCATTAGAGGCAATGGCCAGCGACAAACAAGTGGCTGGAATGAATGCAATTGTGGCTGAAGAGAAGGGAGGCCAAGGGGCGTTGCTTGTCAACCCCTTATGACTCATAAATTGAGCTAATCTCGACGAGGACATCGAGTTTCAAAGGGTGCAGGTGGTTTGTTAGCCCTCCGCCACTTTGAGCTTAACTTGATAATGAGAGTGTTGTCATGGGGCAGCAAGAGTGTTGCCAAGCTAAGGTGCACGAGTAGCACCAATGCAAAAAGGAAACGGGCAAGTGATAGCTAAGGCTTTGACGGAGGCAAGGCAGCTTGGCAAGGACTTGACAAAGAGATGCTGGCTGAGGGTGACACTTGATCATGGCAAAGGCATCAAGGCATGAGGCAGTGATGCCAAGGCAATGCAAAAGCGACGTGGCAAAAGCAGGCTAAGTGCAACGGAAGGCAATGCGCGAGACAGACTTGTCATAGCATTGGGGCGCGGCAAAAGGGCCATGTGCGTGAGCAATGGCATGGGCAAAATGCGGCTACAATGCACCTGAATACAAGGCATTGGCGCCTGATTCAAGCCAAGGCACGCACATGGGCAGCAAGCTTCAGATTGACCAAGTCAAGGGCGGTTACACGGCATATGCTGTGCACATGGGCAGCAGTTGGCTTTTGCTAAAACGCTGGCAGAAGTGTTAGCACGTTTTTGGGCCATGTTTCCATTATTATTAGCATGATCTTACATGATCCTAGTAATTGGGGGATGTCAACTACACTAGGCTAAAATAGTGGGCTGTGTGGGACAATTGTCTAAGCCTAAGTGCGACAAGTGTAAGGCAAAGGGGCTGCCTCATGTGTTATAAATGGCAACACCCTTATACTTGTGGGCAGAAGAGAAAAACGTGTATAAGTGCACATTTGAGAGTTAGGAAAGAGTCCTAAGTCTGTTTTCAAGAGTGAAAACGCCTAAGGTCAAGAGTGATCTTTTTGTACACGGCTGTACTTAGGTTTGAGTTTCTTTGTATGCTCGAGTTAAATACAAAGTTGTGAAAAGAGTTTCTTGTAATTATGCCTTGTGTTCTTGTTAATTTTCTATTGCCTTTACTAAATTTCGTTGCCTAAATCGTTCCTAAACTTACTACGTTGAAAGCTGCCTAAAAATATTCTAAGTCCAAAGTAGCTGTAATTTTGGCTAAGTGTTGTGAGAAGGCTGAAGTCAAGTGCGGGACTTGGCTGCGGCGCAGGCTGGTTTCGGCGGACAGAAATCACGCCCGTGACACTAGGCATCCCTACTGTTTTTAGGTTAGTCTGGGAACTACTCTTAGGTTTTTCCTAATTTTTGGTAAGATGGATAGGTGCTCGGTTCTCAAGCTCAACTTAGATATAGCTTTCAGTTTCAGCAGTTTAGAGAATTTTGCTCTGAGATTAGGATTGCTACCTATGAGAGTTAATCCATAGAAACAGAAACATACTGTAGCAGCAATGAGGCGCTATTAGCATAAGTCTATGATGGTCATTCATATCAGGTTTCTTAGCCTTTGTGGTTCTCCTATAGTTCTCTCAGGCATACAGCAGTATTGTTATTCTTAGCAACAAAGCCTTGCGATTATTACTTGTGTTAAGCTTAAAGCCGCGAACCTCTTTAATATTAACTCGGTTAAAAAGTCTGAAATCCATATCCCGCAGTAGTAGAAGAGAGGAAGGGATATTAGTCGTGTTAGTTGAAAACTTTAACTTCATATTCTGTTTTCTGATTGGAAGCATCTTGTTTGAATGAAGTTTCAGTTAGTGTATATGATTAGATGCTTTTTGTAGAGTAATATTGTATTTTCCTTGTATAGGAATACATTAATGGCTTAACAGAAAGTTAAATAAACGGAAGCACTGATGCTAAATGTTAAAGTTTTACTCATTAAATTCTTTTAGCCATATAGCAAAGGAAACTGTATATGGCTAATTGGATAAATGAAATGGATGATGAATTCAGATTAAGTTTAGTAATCATAAAGCAAAGGTGCAAATTGATCATGCTGTGCAAACTTGATTTTGTTGGCATACCTGTTAAGCACAGTTATGCATACATAAACAGCAAAATGAAACTTATCTTGGAGGTGAGCATGAGATTAAATGAAAGTTGATGCTGATAAAATGTTAATGGATAAATCTGAGGGAAAATAATGAATTTATCCCTTATTTATTGGGTTATTTGAGTTTTAATCCTTGTGTTATTGACTTTAAGCTCATTTAAGCTTTAGTTAAATTAAATGTGCAATTATATAAAGCACTTGAATCTCTCGTTAAGAGAAGGGTAAACTACCAAAATATGCATTTAAACTCGAGATAAGGGAAGAGAAATCTTACTATCCTAACACACCCTTGATGTTATGAATAGGGGTGGCAAACGGGCGGATTGGGTCAGATATAGGCAGGTCGAAAACAGATAACGCAAAAACAGATAAATTAATCAACTCGGTCCATATTTAATACGGATTAAAAAAACAGGTTAACCGGCGGATAATATGAATATCCATATTATCCTTGACTTCTTGAATATGATCACTTTTGGGAGAATTAATTTGAGGCTTTAAAAATGTAAAAATTAAATCCATTAATTATTATTGGTTATCCATTTTCTAAGTAGATAATATGGTTCTCATCCATATTTGACCCATTTTTAAATAGTTTATTATGCAACTCATTTTTTAATGGATAATATGGGTGGATAATTATTGTTTTTTAAACATTTTGCCACCCCATATTA